AGTTGATTTGCAAGAGCATTTATCTTATTGACATGAGCCATGAGGTCTTCACCTTCTTCCATCTTGCGAGTGAAGAACTTCCTCCTTGTATAGATGATGTTGGATAAGTTTTTGCTCTCATAGATGTTGCAAAGAGTCTTCTATGCTTCCGTTGGTCCTTTATAAGAGATAATGTGGGAGAAGTTGGCTTCATCCACATAGGTTGCAATCAATCCAAAAGCCTTCTTTTCATGACGTTTGAACTCCTTCTTCTCTTTCATATCAGCATCTTTGCTTGGAGCCTCTTTACTTTCGTCTACAATATTCCATAGATCCAAAGACGATAACAAAAATTCCATTTTTATCTTCCAATGGTAGAAATTGTCACCTCTAAACTTCTCAATAACTCTCAATCCTTCACCCTCACTTGAAGCCATGTCTAAGGAAGAGTTGTATCAAAAAAGATTGTCAGAAGAAGTCCTAATGCTCTCAAAAATCAGCAAGAAGGTTTTGCTGCCTTAGAATCACAGAATCCTTTTTTGTGAACAAACTAGTGTTTTAACTCTCAAAAACACTCTCAACTTTACTTCTTAGACTTGTCACAAGTTTGATGACTTATCTAAGTGTTTCAAATCTGATTTGCCACTCTAATATCTCTCTTATGCTCACAAATCACCTCTATACACCATAAAAGGCCTTTTAAGCACAATCAGCAACTTTAGGACATGAAATTGTAAAGTTAGATTACTAAGGATCTATCTCAGTAAAAGCACAATGCAAACTTTGTCTATAGGTGAAAAACAAGACACTAACACCAAAATGCTCTTAACCACAAGTAAGAACAAACCATGATCTAGATCTAGATCTGAATCTGAAAGTTAGGTTCTTCCAAAGCCTAACATCAGCAACAACAACTTAATCTACTCCACACTTATAAAACCACTTCAAAGAACTTCAAAAAACACTGAAGCAAATGTGAGTGGACCCATAACCTATTGAAGAAAAGAAGTCTAAAAGCTATAAACACTTAGCATCAGCAAGGATTGTAGTCTAAGAGAAGTGTGAAGAAAGATAATTCTTCCTTCCAATACTCTTTACTTATAGGTGGTGGTTTGCTCACCAATGAAGCAACTTCCATCCTTTTGATATTACATCCATTTCTACCTCATTCAACTAAACCCTTGGTGCCACCACAATAACTTACTTTCATTCTTTGCTACCTTTTGACTATTAGCAACATACTATGTTTAATCTCAATGTGGTTGTAACTAAGCAAGTACTTGTTGATCTTCAACATGAATAACATGCAAACAATCAACTAGACAAAATTAATAGTAATACAAAAGATAGATGAATCTTTATAAGAATAGAATAAGATACAAGTTGGATACATATTTCTTAAAATTGGTTTTTTGACCTATTGCATTATAGCAATAACTTTATTTTGATATTTAAAAAGAAAAATTAATGTTCTCTGAAAATTCTTATCTAGTAACTTGTAGTCAAGACATAAGTGTTGGACCTTGATGCCAAAAAATATATTTACTATATTAAATTGAATTTCCAACAAAGACAAAGAGTTTTTTCATTGGCACATTAATTTTAAAAATAATAAATAAAAAATAAATAAAATCTTTGAACAAGTCACAAAATAAAAACAACAATAATGATAATGTGGTGGATGCAATATGATGTTGGGTAGAAATAATAATATATTAGATAGAAACATCAATTTTTTATTTTTAAAATGTATTAATAAGACTAAATATGGCTTCATTTTTTACTTCATATATACAAACTATCAAAAAAGTCTTAAATTAGATTTTTGAGGACCACAAGATTTTTTGCCTAAATATCAAGTTGTAACTTTCTTCTAATACAATTTCAAAAAAATAAAGAACTTATAAGATAAGTTTTAATAGCCATGTTATATATCTATAGGAATTTAAAGATCCAATTTGCATTTGAGAAATTTTCTTGAAGTTTCTTAGAAAACGTTTATCTACTTAATACATTCTACTACCTTATATTAATTTCTATTTATTTAAATAACATAGGCATCCTTTAAATTACCTCTTTCTTTAGAAGAAAAGTTCTAAAAGGAGTTATTAAGTTGTTTCATAATTTAATAAAGTTCAAGATCCATCAAATGGTATTTGCAATAAACTATGATCTTTATTTTCTACAAAGGTGCTTGATAGGTCACTTCAACCATCAATAATTTCATATATCAATGTGAAAAAGCTATGCAATTATTTCATTGTTGTTGAAGCTTAAATAATTAACTTTCAATTATTTTTCTCTTTTAAGATTCTATTCAAGCTTAAAGATAAATAATTCTGTTGTATTAGTAAAAAATTCAAATTAAAAAGACTACTAAATTTTTTCAAGATAGTTATTTGAGACACAACTCTGTTAACTAATAAGATGTTTTTTAAGGCAAAATATAATTTTTTAAATGATATTAATACAATATATGGTCAAACTCTATTTATATTAGATAAAGTATTTTTTTGAGCATTGCAAGTTTTGTGTTAAGGAAAACAAAAAAAACAAAAAATCTATAAAACTACAAAACCTAAATTCTTTGTGTAGGCTTAAAATCTCTCAATCATAGCTATCTATGAATAAAGATTGATTCAAAATCAGCATAAGATTGTACCAAATTGATTACAGTAATAGAGATGAAAACATGAACTTTGAACAATAATTATTCCATATTTAAAAATAAATAAAGAATATCTATATTGATAAAGGTAGAAAAAAAAAAAATTTTTAGATAGGATAATTATGCTTAAATTAGTATATTAATTATTTAAAAATATTTATTGCAACACTTTGGACCATGCAAAAATCCAAAGTGTTATAAAATTGTACAATTTAATGTACTACTAATGTATGTGTTGAGAAGTTGAATTGTTATATTGTACAAAGTTTTATTAGTAATGAGATTAAGTTCAATTTAATTGACTTATTTTCTATTGATGATAAAAATACATGTGCTATCTATTTAGTAGAGTTTATAATATATTTTTTATTACTTGATTTCCAATATACAACTTAAAACCAAAAGATAAAACTCATATAAAAAAATTATAGACATTGGCACAATAATTATATAATCAAATTGATTGTTTAATAATAATAAAAATACAAATTATTATTATTACTATTATGGAAAAAATTATGAATTTATAAAAATGTTGTTTGTAATAAATATTTTAATAATAAAATTTATGTTTTAAATCTGAAGATAAAATTTGATTGAATTTAAAACAAAGTTTTAAAAATAGAAATTAAATATTTGTTTGTACTGATCTACACATATATCATTTTAAATTATAATACTCTATATCACATCTCAATGATTTATAATAATATGTTATACTTGAAACAAAATAAGGAACTCCATTGCTAGTCTTTTTATGTATATATATATATATATATATATAGTTATTTGATTTACTAGTTATTTAATCTGTATAAACTCAAAACTTTTAGATCATAGTAAAGATTTAGAATTAATCATATTCAAATATATATATATATATATATATATATATATATATATATGAAAATATTAAAAAGACCTAGGTTTGATTAAATCAACCCATTCATCTTAACCATCATGTAAAAAAAAAATGATTTTTAGATTCATCTTGCATTATTGGATCTAAAACCAATAAAAAAACCAACCACATTCATCACAATTATCATATTCTTCATTAAAGATGAGTCTATTTAGTAAAAGTATGGATCTAGTTTATATATATATATATATATATATATATACGTGCATAAAAATTGTTTATTAATTTTTAGACAAAAATCATAGCAAAGTAATTAAGATATAAATAATGCAAAGTGAATGAAAATTCAAATTAATTTGAAAATACATTTTCACATTTAAAGAGAATATTAAAAAAACACATGATTTGAACATATACCACACATATATCAATGTATGCATGTGAGTATACATTAACACATGGTTGTTTATTAAATAGGAGTCTTATATGAATTATTCAATAAAAGTATATAAATAAATACCACTTTAGTTCTCTCATCAGTACTTGGAGATTCCATACTAGCTTATATAATTTCAACAATTAAATATTTATGAAGACAAAATGAATAATTATTACATATAAAGAATTGTTAAATTGATCCAAGCATTTACTAAATCAACCCACTCATTCTAATCATTGTCAAAAAATTCTCCATTGTTGGATCTGTATTTATCAAAAACTAATGAAAAAATGGTTGGATCTTCAACTAATGATGATGTGTGGATCAATTAAATAAATATTTGAGTCAATTTAACAATTCCATACATGTACATACATAAACACTAATAACTAAACTAAATAAATATAATGTATAGTTTCCCAACATCCAGGACTACACTGGTCCACAGGGGTGCCTCCACCCAAAGCACTGATGCAAAAATGACTCTGGACTCGGACTTGCAGCATTCGCATTCGTTCGGATGTGCTTTGCGGGTGTGACCCTAACGAGTTCGTCACCAAACGTCCCCGCGCGGGACGACCTCCCCATCAACCGCGCACCGCCTCCACAACTCCGCCGCGACACTTGCCTCACATCCGCGCGCACCAGCAAATGCAACTACAGGCAGCAGCCCAAGCACGTGCCGTGAAGCTCGCCGCCGCATAGCTGCCCCCATTAGGGCACCCAAACAGCACAGCAGCAGCAAAGCGAGCCAGGGCCACCATCCATCCAAACATTCATCCACCCCCGGCCCTGCCCGGACCCTCCCCACGGGCTGCCCTCCTCGACGCTGCCAGCAGAGCCGAGAATGCTGTAAAGCCGTAAGTAAAGCACCGCCCACGGTGACTCGACACTGGTTTCTCTTCGCATACTCTTTTTCCTCGCTTACATCGGAGCCGTTGGTTCCGAATTCTAACTATCTGCACGATCCATCTCGACTCAGAACTCGGTGTTGTCCCGTTTGTGCGACTGTCCTGATTTTGTCTCTTGGTTGTCGCGCAGTCGGCGGGTGTGTGCGATCGTCGCATTTCAACAGCGGGCCGGTCGCGCTTGGTGCAGGAGCGTGTGTTTGTGTGTGTAACTGTGTGTGTGTCTCGGGTGGTGTGGGCGGCTCCCCTCAAGCCTTCGCTCTTGAAAGCCTAACTATTCAGGTTGGTATGCAGTCCCGTGTTCTGAGTTTCCTGTTCTCTACGGTTAGCCCAGGGTCAGTTTCCGATGGCAGGTTGGGTATTTGTGTGGTGTGATTTATGATGCGAGAGTGAGAGATGGTGTGATTTTAGGGTGGAGACGAATGGGAGTCCCGCGTGTTGGATTCCAGTATCATCGAGGTTGCTATTTTCTTCTGTATGTCGCCTCGCCGCCTTGGTCTGTGTCGGCGTTCTTGATGCCTCGGGAGGTTGGGGGAATTGAACGTGGATCGCCACGCATCACGGATCCTCAGTTGGTTGCCTGGTGAAACCGCCTTGACTCTGCCCCATGGGTCGGTCTGTCGGTCGGTCGGTCGTTCATGGAATGTGGTGCGTGGAGTGGGTTGCGTTGTTCTTGGAGGGCATTCGAGGCAGCACTGTGAAGTCGTGAGGGCGGTGCGTGGGGTTTTCGAATTGGTGGAATCGTGGATTGAGCGGGATTCAGCTGCTGCACGGACGCGGATGCCGTTTGCGATCGTGTGCAGTGACTGACGTAGTGGAAATCTGTCCTTTGGGTTGGCAAGGCAGGAAAGATGGCGGCAGCTGTGTCGAGGAGCGTGGTGCCGGTGGGGTCTGCAGCGGTGGCAGCGGCTTCACCGTGTTCGCAGGCGTCGTCGAGGAATCACGTGAGCATGGGGTGGAGCAACGCGAGCAGCCGGTTCGCCGGTTTGCAAGCCAGCAGCCGGGGCAGCGTGAAGGCAGGGTACACCGTGACGCTGAAGACGAAGGATGCGGGGGACGTGACGTTCGAGGTGGACGGGTCGACGTACATCTTGGATGCCGCGGAGGAGGCGGGAGTGGACCTTCCGTACTCGTGCCGAGCCGGTGCGTGCTCGACGTGCGCGGGGCAAATCAAGGAGGGCACGGTGGACCAGTCGGACGGGTCATTCCTGGACGACGAGCAAATGGAGAAGGGGTTCGTGCTGACGTGCGTGGCGTACCCGACGTCGGACCTGGTGATCGAGACTCACAAGGAGGAGGACCTGCAGTAGTAGTGTAGCGAGTGTAGGGGGGAGGGCAGCGAGTAGCATGGGCCGTAGAAGTTGCCGGAGACGGCGGAGGGAGCGAGGCGCAGGTGCAATGCGCTTGGAGGTGGAGTGGAGCACATGATGCGACGGTGGCGGTGTGGGATGCACGTGCGTGCGGAGAGTCGGTGGAGGGTAGCAGCAGGTGCAGTGGTGATTTATTGGGGGATGGCAGAGGGTGAGGGGGCCGGGTTGGCGTATGAGGATGGGTGGAGTTGGAGATACGGGTAGGATGCTCGCAAGTGAGGTTAGCAGTAGGCGAGGATGTTGATAGACTTGTGGGGAATAAAAAGAGTAAAATTTTTATGAAGGAGCGAAGCGGATGTGGATGTGTGCAGATGGCGTTGCATGTGGAGTGGGAGGATGGCAATGGTGTGGCAGTGCGAGGGAGTGTGAGTGCGAACATACCATGTATTTGATGCAGAGCTGTGATGGTGGTGATGAAGTGAGTGAGGTGGCAGATGGGTGTGTATGTGAGGAGTTTGGGATGATGTGTGTATGGACTGCTGGTTTGTGGAAGTCAAAGCTCTCGGGTTTATTGCCCTTGTATATGTTGTTGGATACACAGGAAAATGACTTTTTTGTTTAGTTCATTGACTCGAATGGGCTTCTTTCTTTGATTGGATGGTTGGTATGGTGACAATTCTACGTGTATCACATTACCCTGTTGGATCGACTGGAAGTTCGTGGAACCTACCGATTCATCCTTGAAAGATTCCATGCTTGTTTAGACAGCTACGAGGGACTGTTACATTCTACAAGAATGTAATTTGTCCTTTTAGGCACCAGAATGTTGGTTGCCATCTTCGATCTTCTCGACGGTCTTAGGAAGCTTTTGGTGAAATTTAGGCTTTTTGAAATTCTTTTTTGTGTTGTTTTCATGGGTATCCTGTATTAGTCAATTTCTGTCCACAAGCCTTGGTGTTGTTTGTCAATGTCTTATTGTTAAACGATTTTGGAGCGCTCAAAATCCATATTTCCCACGTTCATAAATCTCATTCTTAACGAACTTTGGATTATGCTGAATCCGTATTTCCCACATTTATACACCTCTAATAAGGACCATATTATTTTCAATCTTTTAAATTTGGTAATTGGTTTGACCACAAACATTGGTTGTTCCCATGAGAGTCCTTCACATTCCAACAGGACTAGAAGCAGTGGATCGTGTATTTGCTGTTCGGTCCGTTGGGCGGACTTGTAACTTAGTGATGGCAATGCGCGGGTTAAGCAATTGCGCTTGTGTTTTTCTGTCGGATCGTGTCTCTTTGAAACAGGAAATGCACACGGGGGTTGCAATGCTCATGAAGTTTACAATTGGGGGCAACGTTGCATCCGTTTAATTGAGCCTGTGGGCATGGGGGCAACTGACGCGGATTCGCATATAGGAGAATTACTGAACTTCGGAAAGGCTACAACAGCAACTGTGATATTTGAACACAAGTCTGCAGCTAGTCATCCATGGTGTAACCTGTGCTATGCATTGAATATGCATGCATTGCCTTGTTGTTGCGATCATAGCATCAGCTTTAGGGTGGAGGAAGATTGAGAGTTGTTTGTCACTTAATTCAAAAGGACATTTACGGTGAGACGACGACACCTAAGTGGCTACCCGAGGCTATGGAGGTGGGCGTCTCTTGCCCGCTTACACTGCAATTAGGGCATCTTAGGTTTCAGGTTGGGATCAGCATGCATATAGTCCCCTCACGACCCGCTGCAGTGATTTGAGTATCTGGGGTCAGTGTCGCATACTGCTCCACCCAAATTTTGCGCTCCAGGTTGAATCCTTCCTTACGAAATTGACTGCCCGCCGCAGACATGACCTGGTTCAGCCCCGACGTGAACTCGAGGATGCACCACAAAATCCTGCCGCATCTCACAAGTGGCTCCTCCACAGTCATCCTGAGACAACAGTTGAGCAGTGAGGATACCCTAGACATCGCCGAACAGCATCATTTGCCCCAATTCCGACCTTAAGCCCGTATTGATCTGGGAAAGGAAGATGCCCTGCTGCACTTGCCTGTCTCTCAGGCTTTGACCCAATAATTTATCCAAATCGGGCCAGCCCCTGCGACCGGTTGGATACCCAATAAGCTTTGCAGTTCTGTTATTTATTTTTAGTCATCTCTTGTAAAATTGTAGGTTAGACTGTTGAGGGACATGAGATGCAATGCCTCAAAAAATATGTTTAATTACCTACTTCGTGGAAGAAAAAGAAACTGTATTCTTATTTGATCTATGATTCGACATATTACAACGAACGATAGGATGATTCCTATTTGTTGGGAAGGCAAATCTAAGACAAGATTTCTTTTTTTCTTTTTTTCTTCATAGGAACATACATTCTAGTAAAAATTCTTCTACTTGTAATAATGTATTGGAAAAATGCAAAGATTTGCATCTTTTAAATCCATGACTTTAATAAAAAGATGAATTCTTGCAAAGATATATCCAACCCACCTAAGAACCAAACATTAGAGTTAGATCAAATTAGGAGAGGACAATAAATAACCACTCAAGAAAAGATGGCTAGCCACCATAAATTTGACAAGCAATGTAAGTATACAAAACGATTGTACTGAATATACTTATATATATATATATATATAAAATTTTAATTTTGATTGAATCAAAGTCTATTTTGTGGTGCATGTGTATTATATTATTTTTGTTTTGTTTTATCCTACTTTTGCCTTCTATTTTCTAATTAGAGTTAAGTTGTGTATGGTGTGGTTCAACATTATGGTCAATGCAGAATCCTTCTTAATAATTATTATTTCCACAATTTATTAACATTTTCAAAAGCAATTGTGTGGAGTTAGTATTGCATATCAACATTTGAAAGTGATCAATAAATCTTCATTAAATTCATAACATTATTTATCTAAGTTCCAAATTGTTGCACAATAGACCAACATATGTTTGGAGTGCTAAAATCCAATCATAAGAGTTAATTTAAAGAGGTTCCAAAATTTAGACAAGAAACAATAAGTTTTTGTCCCCTCTCCTTTTTAACTTTGTACATTTCTAATCATAATAATTATGTTGGTAAAAAGTCTTTTTGGTTGCTATAATATTTAATTTCAATAAATTTTAATTAATAATATGAACTTGCTATCAATATAGTTAATTCAATCAAATCATAAAAATATTTATGATTTAATAAATAATTTAATAAATTTTTAGTGCACCATTTTATAATTCATTATTATTACTACTTTAAAACAAAGTACTTGTACTATAACTACATAATATAACAATGTTAACAATTCATTAGAAATAAAACAATCTAATTTATTTAATTTCAAATATAAACGTGAAAAATCAATATATTTAAGTAATATGTTTATCCATGACAACCTTTCTTCTTTAAAAAACAAATATTACAAGCAATGATTAAGTCATTTCATAAATTAATAAATTCTAAGATTTTTCAAAAAATCTTAGTAATAAGTTTTGATCTATGTTTTTTATAAAAATAGTTGATAGATTCTTTTGGAAATTAATATGGTTGCATATTAGGACAAGGAAATAACCTTTTATTTGATTATTATTAAATCTTTCTTCACTACCTTTAAATAACTCATTTTGCATGCCATAAATATAATATCTATCTTTAATGATAAATTTAGGTATCAAGAGTCTATTCAAATATTGTAGTGCCATATATTTTTTATCTTAATCATTAATTTAAAATAATACATTTATTTCACATAAAAACTTGATTTTTATTTTAATTTTATAAAGATTAGACAATTTGAATGTTTTATCAAGATATTATACAAATGATAACTCTTAATATAAATTTGTTGGTTATTTGTTTTCCTTGTTGGAATGAAGTTTTGAAAGTTGATTTATAAATTTACTTTTTAAATTAATATTATGTTGTTATCAATAATAAGTAATTGATTTTGATATAATTTTTGGTAAAAATAAAAATATAAATAATGATACATTTTTAAGATTTTCACATACTATTTATATATATTTATTAATATTATATCTTTTTTAATATATATTACATTCCAATATATTTCTAGACAGCCTTCAATCTAAGAAGTCTTTGTCATTATTTGTTTTAATAAGGAATAATGGTAATTTCTTTCTTCTTGGTATGTTTATTGTTCTATAAGATTCAATAAATAAATAAATAAAATATATGATGAATCTTTATTGATTGTGGTAGTTGATGTAATTACTATACAATTAAATTGATCTTCTTTTTGGATAAAAAAAGTCAAGACTTCTATAATCCAACTTGTCATAAAATCAACTAACCTTAATATTAAAAAATAAAATAAAATAAAATAACCATGTTTTATAACCAACTTTATTTGAAGATAATAAATTCAAAAGATTCCTCCACAATCTTAATACAAACTAAAGCTTCCAATGTTTTAGTATCTTATTTACATTCTTCTATATTCTTAGAAGATATAAAAATATTATTTTAAATAGATTTGAAAAAAAAAAAAAATGAAATGCAAAAAATGTGCCATTAATCAAATGCTAGAAAGTAGCTCAAGTGTTTGTAAGTTCGAAAGGCTTGGCATTACATTCAAAATTATTGTACATAGTTTTAAATTTATACTTCTATTAAATTTTTATTCTATATATATATATATATATATATATATATTTGATTTTAGACTTCTTCTAGATCTATCTTGGTATAGATCTAAGGTTTACTTGATTAATTATAAATTCATAGTATTAATAATAAACAAAATAACAATGATTAATGGTTAAATAATTAAATTTATAATAATCTATATAATTTTATAAAGATCTATTTTCACAAAGAAAATTTGTACATTTCCAATTTTTTTTTTGAATATTGGATTAAAAAAATTCAAGTTATTTATTAACATGTTTCTTTAAATGAATATTTTATTAATTAAAAAATTATAAATTGATCTAAAAGATTGATTAGTTCATGAAATAAGAATTAATTGAACAATTATAAGATCAAATTTTTGATAATTTATTAGCAATATATTTTCAATCACATCTTAATAACTTTTATATGATTGTAGAATTCTAGTACAATCTCTACTTTTCATGCTTATATAAATGACTCAATTGTAATAAATATAGATTAAGATGATTTCTTGACTTTTAAACAAAGTTTTAAAATGATATTTTGTAATTTTCAATGGATATTATGACCATGTAATTTAAACCAAAGAAGTAAAGTACCACCATATTTGGAAAATATTTAATGATATTGAAAATTGTAATCAATATTTAATCTTCTAACATTGCTTTTAAATAGTTTGGTTTCTTCCATAAAATCTCCAAATGGTAATGGTTGTCAATCAATAACCTTCATTAGACTTGATGCACTCTATTTTAAGACTTCCAATTTGTATTGTAATACAAGATTCTTATTTATATAACAACTTGAGATTGTAATATTTAAAAGAATTAAAGTTCAAATTCATAACAAGAAGTATTAATAATTATAATAAGTAAGAAATTGTAGAATCTAGTGGTAGCATGGGACCTATAATTGTTAGTTGTGGTATCATGAAAGAGATTTTCTACTAGAAATAACAAATTAATGGCTAAACCTTAATTGCTTTAATAAAAATAAGTAGAAGTCATAAAACTAGATTTAAAAACTACTTTCAATTAAGCAATATTTATTTTATAAGAAAGAAAAAAACTAATATTGAACTCTAAGCGTGTTTGTTCTAGTCTTTTTATTTAATTTCCAGGAGAAAAACAATAGCATCATCCACATTTCATACACAAATCATCGAGATGCGATTGGGGGTGACCTGAGGGAGGGAGTTCGTTCCCGACATCCCCAAACTGAAGACGAGCTCTCAAACGAAGAAGACGAAGAACGAATGCAAGGATAAAGGGCAGCAGCAGCAGCAGCGCCTCAACAACTTCGTCCACGGGCACCACAAAATGCATCTCTGGGCAGCCAAGGCGCGTGCCGTGAAGTGAAGCTCGTCGCCGCATAGCTGGCCCCATTAGGGCACCCAGACAGCACAGCAGCAGCAAAGCGAGCCAGGGCCACCATCCACCCATCCATACATTCATCCATACCCTGCCCTGCCCGGCCCTTCCCAAGGCTTTGATGCTACTTCCAATTATTTAGAATCTCAGCTGCCCGGACCATTACCACGGGCTGCCCTCTCGACGCTGCCCGCAGAGCCGTCAATGCTGCAAAGCCGTAAGTAAAGCACCGCCCAGCGTGTCCCAATGCCGACTACCCTGCTTCTTCATCTGTGTTCGTGTTCTCGCTCGCATCGGAGCCGTTGGTTCCGAATTCTAACTATCTGCACGATCCATCTCGACTCAGAACTCGGTGTTGTCCCGTTTGTGCGACTGTCCTGATTTTGTCTCTTGGTTGTCGCGCAGTCGGCGGGTGTGTGCGATCGTCGCATTTCAACAGCGGGCCGGTCGCGCTTGGTGCAGGAGCGTGTGTTTGTGTGTGTAACTGTGTGTGTGTCTCGGGTGGTGTGGGCGGCTCCCCTCAAGCCTTCGCTCTTGAAAGCCTAACTATTCAGGTTGGTATGCAGTCCCGTGTTCTGAGTTTCCTGTTCTCTACGGTTAGCCCAGGGTCAGTTTCCGATGGCAGGTTGGGTATTTGTGTGGTGTGATTTATGATGCGAGAGTGAGAGATGGTGTGATTTTAGGGTGGAGACGAATGGGAGTCCCGCGTGTTGGATTCCAGTATCATCGAGGTTGCTATTTTCTTCTGTATGTCGCCTCGCCGCCTTGGTCTGTGTCGGCGTTCTTGATGCCTCGGGAGGTTGGGGGAATTGAACGTGGATCGCCACGCATCACGGATCCTCAGTTGGTTGCCTGGTGAAACCGCCTTGACTCTGCCCCATGGGTCGGTCTGTCGGTCGGTCGGTCGTTCATGGAATGTGGTGCGTGGAGTGGGTTGCGTTGTTCTTGGAGGGCATTCGAGGCAGCACTGTGAAGTCGTGAGGGCGGTGCGTGGGGTTTTCGAATTGGTGGAATCGTGGATTGAGCGGGATTCAGCTGCTGCACGGACGCGGATGCCGTTTGCGATCGTGTGCAGTGACTGACGTAGTGGAAATCTGTCCTTTGGGTTGGCAAGGCAGGAAAGATGGCGGCAGCTGTGTCGAGGAGCGTGGTGCCGGTGGGGTCTGCAGCGGTGGCAGCGGCTTCACCGTGTTCGCAGGCGTCGTCGAGGAATCACGTGAGCATGGGGTGGAGCAACGCGAGCAGCCGGTTCGCCGGTTTGCAAGCCAGCAGCCGGGGCAGCGTGAAGGCAGGGTACACCGTGACGCTGAAGACGAAGGATGCGGGGGACGTGACGTTCGAGGTGGACGGGTCGACGTACATCTTGGATGCCGCGGAGGAGGCGGGAGTGGACCTTCCGTACTCGTGCCGAGCCGGTGCGTGCTCGACGTGCGCGGGGCAAATCAAGGAGGGCACGGTGGACCAGTCGGACGGGTCATTCCTGGACGACGAGCAAATGGAGAAGGGGTTCGTGCTGACGTGCGTGGCGTACCCGACGTCGGACCTGGTGATCGAGACTCACAAGGAGGAGGACCTGCAGTAGTAGTGTAGCGAGTGTAGGGGGGAGGGCAGCGAGTAGCATGGGCCGTAGAAGTTGCCGGAGACGGCGGAGGGAGCGAGGCGCAGGTGCAATGCGCTTGGAGGTGGAGTGGAGCACATGATGCGACGGTGGCGGTGTGGGATGCACGTGCGTGCGGAGAGTCGGTGGAGGGTAGCAGCAGGTGCAGTGGTGATTTATTGGGGGATGGCAGAGGGTGAGGGGGCCGGGTTGGCGTATGAGGATGGGTGGAGTTGGAGATACGGGTAGGATGCTCGCAAGTGAGGTTAGCAGTAGGCGAGGATGTTGATAGACTTGTGGGGAATAAAAAGAGTAAAATTTTTATGAAGGAGCGAAGCGGATGTGGATGTGTGCAGATGGCGTTGCATGTGGAGTGGGAGGATGGCAATGGTGTGGCAGTGCGAGGGAGTGTGAGTGCGAACATACCATGTATTTGATGCAGAGCTGTGATGGTGGTGATGAAGTGAGTGAGGTGGCAGATGGGTGTGTATGTGAGGAGTTTGGGATGATGTGTGTATGGACTGCTGGTTTGTGGAAGTCAAAGCTCTCGGGTTTATTGCCCTTGTATGTGTCGATGTATCCACGTGAATAGGGTTAAGATTATTGTGGTTCCTGTTTTGTGGGTCTTTGTTGGGTGGATTTGTAGGCAATGGAACAGAAGGACCGTTGTGAACGTTTTTGTCGGTATAATGTGGTTTTGATTGTTTTTCGACGATAGAGTCTGTTCGGGGCAAGAAAAGCTCTCGTAGATTATATTTGGAGACAGAAATGGTTGTATACGATTGGACGTATGAGCTTTTTCAGCGAATGACGCGGGTTAGCCATCGAAACATATTTTACAGAATGGTTGTATATTTGAGGTTCGTAATGGAACTAGAGGAATCTGTCACAATTTGGTTTACGATCTCGCAGTATTTATGTTAGTTCTTTTTCATTGTCATCGTGATGGCTTTCTTGAAGGTAAATTTGTAAGGAATGCTTTTGTTTTGAATTGGGCGAAGATCGTATCTTAGGTAGTGATTATTACAGCTACTTGCAGATTAAAGCAATCACAGTGGATTGTTCGGCAACCTGTTCAAATAAGGTAGAAAACGGGTTGTAGAGAAGTTCAAGAAACCTACCTTTGGGAACATACCTTTCTTCCTTCGATACATATTGCTAAATTTTACGTACATGCGTATGATTTTGATTGGGAGAAAGAGAAATTTTATTTGTGAACTTGTGTTTGCTCTTAAGGGCAGAGCGGGCAAATGGTTGTACGTAATAACTATCAATTTTCCAAGAGAACAAGAATGGAAGGATACGGTGGCATATGTTAATCAAAGTGTAGCAGGGTTATGTTAAAAAATCTGGATGATCTTATGCAAGTTGATGTAATATGGCTTTAAATATTTACAGTAAATTAACAGAAACAATTCAATTGGCCTAGCTTTGTATATTTATTCTGTGCAATAACATAAGCATCAACATGTGTCTGACTTAAAAACAAATAAATAATAACTGTAAGGACGGTATTTTGATCTCCTTTTAAACGTGTCCCTACACATTCCGTAAGTATCGAGGAAGCATTGAAAGAAATTAGACCTTTAGAAAAATATGTGTAATGGGTTGAATCATTCAATTAGGATATATAATTGCCAGAACAGTAATATTGGTGATGGTTACAAAAACTTAGCTGGATTAAATTCACAGGCTGAACATTGAGCAGAAATCATCCGTTGCGCCTGTGGAATTAGTCCGTGAACTACGGTTACTACATTGTTTCCATTTCCAAGCGGGATTGTTCCACTGAAGGAATGATCCACAGATCCAGTAGGGTTTTAAAACGAAGAAACTGAGTTGGTGTAGGACTTCACAACACCAGTAGAGGCATCTTGCAATGGAAATTCTCTGATTTAGAAACAGACAATATCTGCAGCGCCTCAGATGACGTATTGGCAGAACAATTCCAGCTTCACCTTTGATCAAGAAGCTAATGCGCCTCGGTAAGACAAGGCGTGTACCCAAGGTGGGCCACCTTAGAGTTCCACGAACAGTTAGGTGTCTAATTTGGCCTCGTCCCGATCTTTATTTAAAAGTTACGTGCCATAGGCTCTGCCACCAAAGACCCCGGGTGGAATCCGCGAAACTGGCTGTCGACAATCCACTCTGCTGCAGGCAGACAACACCAATGTAATAGATCGATATAATACCTTAATAGATTTGAAAGGACAGCATACCGCAGGCAGCGCAATTAAGAATTTTGCCTAAGTTGCAAATAATTACCTATTAGGATCAGGGATTGCGCTGATAGGTAGTGACCATTAGAACTAGGTATACGATCTGCAAAATCACGTAATTGGTGTTAAATAGATCTGTAGGAACAAACCATTAAACACTTTCGACCCTCAAACCCGTAGAAGTTGACATTAACTCAATAAGTAGGTGGTGTTATTAAACACCATTGTTTCTGTTACCGTTGAAGAAGCTCGATCCTACTCTGGTGAGCCCGCCTTGCCGGGCTTTCCTGCGGTCACACCGGTCTTCTTCGGAAGAAGAACAGTGTGAATGTTAGGCAGCACTCCTCCGTTTGCTATAGTGACTTGTCCAAGAAGTCTGCTGAGCTCTTCATCGTTCCTTACTGCGAGCTGGATGTGACGCGGCACAATCCTAGTCTTCTTATTATCCCGAGAAGCGTTCCCAGCCAACTCGAGGACCTGGGTCAAAGAAGATAAGTAAGAAACAAAAACATCTCTTTGCACAAGAACGGGTCAGTCCACCCCTATCTCGGAACAAAGTTCTTAGCATATATATACACATGAGTGTTTGTAAATTTGTGTGTGTGCGTGGGTGTGGGGGGGGACCCCAAGTGCGCTAGGTAAGAAAGCCTAAACAAATGGTTCATGAGAGAATGAAACAGTTACCTCAGCAGCGAGGTACTCAAGAACAGCAGCAAGATACACAGGAGCGCCGGCTCCCACACGCGTGGCGTACTTCCCAGCCTTCAAGAAACGCGCAATCCTTCCAACAGGAAACTGAAGTCCCGCCTTGCTCGACCGAGACACGGTCTTCTTCCCAGAGCTCTTCCCTCGTCCTGACATGATTCAAATACAAGAGCTAAGAAACGCAAATGAGAAAGCGCTGAGAGGGCGTGAGAACTCAACACAAGTATGGCGAGGGGCGAAGACAACGAACACCGAGGAGACTTTCCCATCGAATTAGAGGGGAAGCTTTATATGCTGTCCTCCACTCGCAGGGGCCAATGGCCAGCAATCACGCGGATCGACTTTCACGTGATCCGTGCCGTCGATTCCATGACGCCGCACCATCGGACGGCGCAATTTGATTTCGCCATCCCTCCATCGGGAGCATGGAGGTGGCGGGAAAGCAGAGTTTCAAATGGATGCTGTGGTTTGGAAGTCCGGATATCGAATGACGGAGGAGGAATTTTGGCGGGTAAGGTGGAGCTTGCGAGGGAGGGAGGGAGGAAGTTTTTGAAACTTCCGCTGCGATCTACGAGGCGCGATCGGGCCTGGGGACTGACTCCCCGCGCGAAACAGGCTTCCAGAGAACGAATAGGATGAAGTGGAAGAACAAGAAAAGTGTGCATTGGTTTTGCTTCACTTCTAATCTATTCACAGGATGCATCTGCTGTATGTATCTGAGTTTCTGCATTTTGAAATGAGTATGGACCCACAAGAGTGTTCAGAGCCTACATGCCGAAGTATTGATGCAATATATATATATATATACTTCAACGTAAAGTAAACGAGTGAACACGAGGTTGCAGTGTGTGGTGTGATATATTGTGGCACTCAAATTGAACTCTACGCAATGATGTGGGAAAAAAATAAATGGGTTTCAAAATTACCCATATTCTGTAATTTACCAGGTTGTAAACGTACACCATATATTCTGCTGTAATGTACAAAATCTGAAATTATGAACAGGTGTTTGTTTTTGTGATTTACAAAATATGCTAGTGGAAACCCATACCGTTGGCCACGTTTTTATCACGAAATCAACAAATACATAGTGCTGTACACAGCTTGAGCTCATTCAGTATTCACAGGCGGAAGGGCGCACAGTGCTGGAAAAATTTACGCCAAAAAAAATGAAAAAGAAAACCAACAACTTACCGGCATAATGTTTATAATGATGACGACGATGATTCTTATAATAGTAATTATAACAGATGCAAACACACAGCTAGTATAATCTTCACTCCCGTGTAATCAACTTTCTTCCCAGGCACAGGCTCAATTCGCCCCAATTATCAATTGCAATAATTGCCATGATAAATAAATATTCAATGGAGTATATCAAGCGTTTTGGCTTCAATTGAATGCAACCTAACAGGTGCAAGTTTGGGAAGACCCTCCTGGGCTAACCTGAGGGCCACACATACGTGTTAATTTCCTCTCCACAACTATTGAACTTGACAAATCTATTGTGACATGCTTTTTGACTTCATACTGTCGAAACATCCGCAGGCTGAGTCGCTGCGAGAAGCGATGCTGGAACGGAGTAGAAAAAAGTTACACACCCATTTCTCTTGAGATAGCCCTACATAAATCAGCTCACTTGCACTCTCGCAAGTATACTCAAGGGAACGATTGTTTGATTGATAAAAAGTAAATATAAACCAATCAAACAACCTTTCTTGCTGTTTGAAATATGGAATGGTTTATTGATTTAGAAGATTTTTCCAGACTTGCATGATAGCCATTGTCAACAAACGAAGTGCAAGGTCACAACCAGAATATATATATATATATATATATATATATATATTATATCACTGTACCAAAATCCCTTTTACAAAAAAACTATTTTTGTGTATAAATCTTGTGCTTCCATGGAGAACATTGAAATTTGCCCTTAGAAACATAACTTTTATTAACATTCATACATGCACATGTTTCAAGCATAAATACATGAATCTATGTCCTTGATAAATTTTAAGCAATGTTTGCAAACATTGGAACATGATAATGAGATGGCAATGTAAGTTATCAACTTCCCATGAAAATAAATTAAAAAAATTATTGCATACATTATTTCAACTAACAAGAACTTGTTTTACTAGCAAACAGTGTATGATATTAAACAATTAATAATTTCAAATCAATATTATCTCATGCCATTGCCATGTATGTACTTCCATTCCAAGATAAGAAATGCACAACATTTAAATACTAGTTTTATTAAATACTAAAACACGCTTGTCTTGTAAGAATAATCAATTAATACGTACACGCCACTAATGGGTCTTTCCCTTTTTAGGCGAACAGCTCAGCCGAGGCATTTTGGGCGGGAGGTTAATTGGCGGGAAAACCCCCTTGGATGGACGTTCCTCGTCCATCGTCCGTCGTCCGTCGTGCGGTACGGGGATCCAATGCGTCCGTCCGTCCATGAGAACGAAGGTATATTCCATCGGACGTTGCTACACCGACGTGAAAGTTGCGTAGAGATCAGACCCTGGTTGAAATTTGGCCGAAGGATTTAATGCAGAGCAGCGGATCAATCCTTCACGTACTGGTGCTCGGTTCTGTGTTGCTTGTCACGGTTGCTGTTAATGGTGCAGACTTAAAGCAGAGATGTCAGGAAGAGGAAAGAATGCTGGGAAAAAGGCCGTGTCTAGATCCAGCAAAGCGGGGCTACAATTTCCCGTTGGAAGGATATCCCGTTTTTTGAAGGCTGGGAAGTATGCTACAAGAGTCGGTGCAGGTGCTCCAGTGTACCTTGCTGCCGTCCTCGAATACCTAGCTGCTGAGGTGCGATTGTATTCCCCTGGCTTGTCCTGAATGACTACAGCATCCCTCGGTTGTAGAAGTAATCGTCGACTTGTACACACTGATACTCTTCATCCCGAAAATTCCTTATGGTCGTGGCTTGGTCCGCAACTTGACCGTCCTATATTGAATCCGTATTGCTCTTCATATGCTAATTTACTCAGAGGGAGTAGTTGCGCAGAGAAATAGATAGATGGAACTCCTTGTCCATGATTAGTGGATGTTCCAACCCCAAAATTGGCTGCTCAGTAGACCTGTTGTCCATAACACGTGAAAAGAACTTTATTCACTGTCTCGAGTTTCAGTGACTGGTGTATGCACTAGCAGTGCATCAATGTAGCCACAACGACTTCACATGAAAAGCGATTATTGTCATAGAAGCGGAAATGCAGTACGTTATATGCATATTGAAAGTGAAAACTGCATTGTAGATGGAAGCTGTTTAGATGTATCAACACATGCATCTCACCCACGAACAGTCCCCACCTGCTAAGTACCTCACACAAAGGAACAGGTTCTGACTGTATCATCGACGGACTTGGGGCACTTACACCCCGACAAAGTAGCGTTCCAACACTCGGGAAATCTATCTTTCTAATCTGAACCATCTAAATCACTGATGTTGCATATTCGGCCCAAGACCTTTACAGTTCTTTGAACTGAATGACTGCACAAGAAATGTCGTCTTCGCTATATCTATTTCGTGCTTCGCAGACCAGCTCTTGTGCAGCATTCATAGGGTCTTTGGTCTTGTGCACAATATCAACAACTTCCTGGTTAGTGAAGACCGTCCACAGTCCATTACTTCCAAGAATCAGGAATTCACAAGACAGGTCGACTACGAGATCAGCCAAGTCTGGTCTAGCAGTCATGTGCTCTTTCAAAGATTTATCACCAAACGCTCTCGCAACAGATACTAACCCATCCACTCTCCAATGATCACCTGCATTAGACATTACGTAAGAAATGAGTGTCATACAGGAAGAGAACACTAGTGCCAAGTGGAACAGTTCTACACAGCTGTAGGCACCAGCCAAACTTTTCTCAATTGTCTTTTGAAACCTAAAACAAGAGGAATCGGTCTCTAAAGCAACAAAGACAAGAGCCTCAGACTTCTGAATCAATATCACATTTCATACCAGGAATTTGGGTAACCATGCCTCCCCTTCTCTCAACGCTGGCCCTTTCGGTGGGGCTTCCTGGATCATGATCAACTGAAAGCTGCACAGCTATCCCATTTTTCGCAAGAACTGCCCGAGCATCTCCAACATTAGCCACTATTAAACGGCTTCCATGATCCACAAGCATAGCTGTGACAGCACTGCAACCCCCCGCATGTGAACCCTCCAAAATATTTCTGTCGGTGAGGAGATATCCATCCCGTGTGGCACCTGCTGGATCTAAGCGGACACCCCCTTCATTCAAAATGTTGTCAAAAAGGTGTTGTTGCACATATTTTCCCACACAAGGTCCTCCGTGTGAATCAATGATTCCAAATAGACCTATCTGAAAGTCAAAATTTGAATGAAACAGAATTAGTTCGGCACAGAAAAGTTTTGAAGGATAATTATATATATATATATATATATATATATGATCAAATTGAGCAAAAGTGTGATGAAAGAAAAGAAGACATTGCTGAGTTGCACCCTTGTTCCAAATATCCTGGATGAGAAATCTCTTCGCATACAGGAAAAAAGTGACAAAACTCACTGAAGAGTCAAGATTATTGACCAAACCCCCATATTATACCAGCATAGTTTGTTCGCCATTGAAAATCGTTGTACTTGCAACAAATAACAGCAAGTGTTCCACCTTCAAATTGCCGGTAACCAATTTCCAGAGCCTTCATATTGTCATGACGGAAAACGTAGACAATTTGAAAGGAGGTGGATTGGTACCTCCTCGCCATCGATATTGCGAAACTCTGCGACATGAAAGTCTTCCATGGGATTACCACGGAGACCTTGCAATAGAGAGAAACCAAAGATGGCTTGGGGCTGCATTTGCACGCTCTCTCCACCGCCTGAATTCATATTCTCATGCCTAACACCGAATTTCCAGCCATCCCCCAAGTCACTTTCCCGCTCCAGATTTCTTGAGTACACTTTCCCTCCCATTGTGAACTGCTTGATTCTGAATGTCTCTAATACATCTAACCATGAGCCCCTATCGTTCCCTATTAGTTAAGTAACTACTGATTACAGAATGAACTTAACCAGCATTAGTTTTCACCGATAAGATGAGCACAAAACTCGCTTACACGAAAATATTACTGTAGAGCTCGGCCAACCTTGCTCAAGCATATGTGTGAACCCCTCAGAAAGAATCTTGAATCCTGGTCCTCGCAACTACTTGAAAAGCCCTGATCCACACAGACAAGACCACAACATGCTTGCTATGAATATCACTGACTTGTTGTCAATTAGCGGCAAGGTTACCTTCTAGCACAAGATTCAACCTGGGGGGCAATCTATTTGCCTTCAGCACAATTATAACAACTCATAAACGAACTTTTCAGTAGTTTCAGTATTCTGAATCCAGAATTAGAAGAAACTCCGACTGTCGTTAAGCCCTTGCATAGAATCTGCTTGATCATACTCAAACCTGCAACTGACATTAAGGGAGAAACCAAGGAACAATATAACGTACACAAACTAGACGGACTATCAAATGGCTGGAGAAACATCTAACATCAACGTATAACTTCTACAATACCCTTTCTGTGGCCACACTTCCACCGTCTACGTTTACATGGTGTAGCGTGAATAACACACTTACCATTTCTCAGCTTTGAGTTAACACTTAGAGAGTAGAGCAGAACCAAACCCAACAAAATTCAGGAATGCTAGATTACTAGGACTCGAGAATCACAAGTTAAAACGAGCTATCTCATAGACATCAGTTACAAGCACAGAGATACACTTCCTACCAGCCATCCAACGGCCGCGAGAATGAAACTTAAAGACTATTCAAACCAAAATCCTAATCCCAGCGTTCTCTTTAAACATCGCGAAGAACCCAAAAACTCCACCGAAAGACGCACCCTTACAAACATCCAAGCTTCCCTGGCAAGCTTCATCTACTCTTCAACACATGCATGTCCTCACCACCAGCTTCACTCAAAATCCTAATCCGACTTAAAAGCAGAAAAATCAAACCCATCACAACCACCATCACGAAGACGACTCAACACAACTTTAAAAATTCACTGTAAAAGTTCAGAAAAAAAGAAAAAAAAGAAATCCTCGCACCCACTTTGCAACTAAGCGCTCACAGCCTCGAACCAGAGCCCCCACTTACTCTTAAGCCGCAGTTCTGCTCCAGTAAGAAGATCGCCAAACAGACTGCCACCAAACCGGACACCATCAACACACTCCTGTGCAGGAAAACCTGTGCCGAACTCTCTGTTTGCGAACTAGAATCCAAGAAAGACGACGTATGAATCAAATCTACCGATGGCTTGCTCAATGAAATAATAAAATAAAACCACGCTGCTTATCTTCGTAAATACTTCATCATCGTAGAGTGTATGTTCACACGGGCGGTCCCGGCGGCAGCGGCAGGCTCATGCTTGGGATAGAGTAGATAGTGAGACACGTCAGAGTACGTTTTATTTGGAATCTTTCTCTATTTTGTGGGTCCACCACGATAGCTCAGCTTGGCATTTCCACGTTGGGTTTGGAAGAAGAAGAATAAGCGAGAGCAGAAGTGATCGAGTTCTCGTTGGGACTTGCGAGATGGAGTCTTGCAGCATTCATTGAATGCGAAGAAGCCTCGGCATCGGGATTTTGAAAGAGGTGCTCTCATCCTGCTGCGAGTAACCGAGAGCATGTCATGCGTGATCAAGAGGTAGCAGTGGCCGCGATTTCGTGCGTCTTGTTCACGTGGTGTTGTTTTTGTTGTTATTTAGGAGTTGCTTAAGAGTTGTTTATGTTGTTTTTGTTGACGTCAACAGCCAAATACGCATTGAGAATGAGGTGGATGCTTGACATGTGTGCAAATCGGTGTTGTTTGGCAGTTGATTTCTCTGGCGGAGGTTTCAACAATGCTGTTGACTTTCAATGCTAAAAACCCACTGTCAAATTCAACAACATTGTTGCGTCCTTTACCGTGTGGAAATGACCAGTTGTTGGATGTGATGTTTGAATGTTCTCAATATGGCGTTACAGTATTCACTTATTCTCTGTTTTTTTTTTTATTATTTGGTTTTTTCCCCGTTTGTGGTTGGGTACGACAAGAATGAAATGAGTCCATTACGGTTTTAACAAGGACGTTGGCGTTCGGTTCGCTTGGTAACATTAGCCCCTGACTGTAAACTGGTGGGTGACGAGGTCATACATTTCAGAATGCTCAACAATAAAAGAATTCTCAATTCACAACTTCAAAAAAAAAAAAAAAATAAAAAATTGACTAGTGTTCTTGTGGAACCAGATACGACACCGCAATCTGAGTGGAACCATCAAAACTGTTTTTGCTGGGATGTGAGTTTCATAGAAGAGATGTTGTCGAGAGCCTGAGATGCATTAAATTGGGATAAATAGGTTCCAATCCTAATTGTGCCACAAGTTGTGTCGAACTTCAATGGCACAACGACATGCAGGCTATGTGCGTTGTGACAAGCGACATGTTCTATAGGAATACTTCTAATGTCGCCTGCACCACATGCCTCAAAAATTTACATACCCTTCAGGGAGAGAAATCAACACACAAGTGGAGGATTACGATATTCGAAACCTTAACCTTCGGGGAAAGGTCCGAGTCTCTACACACAGTAAATCGTCTATTTCCAACAGTGGTGAAGTAGAACCAAAAATGATGACTGTTTCTTAGACAAAAACAAGTCTTCGAAAATTCTTGGTAGTTCCATTCAAACCATAAACGCTACTGGTACCCTGTGGGCACAAGTGGTACCCGATTTGGTCGAAGGGGGCCAAGACCCTTCTTGTTAAGAAAATATTCATTTCCAATGCTGGACATATCATTCGTAATTACTCCATTATTCCCGTTCTCTCCGCTGTTGCTCTGAAAACACAGATTTAAATATATGAGCATTTCAAGAAGCAGAAGTAAAACAACGAAAGAGTCAAAGCAGCTTAAAACTGGAATCCAGCATTTATAGATCCTATACTATTCAATTTATGCATTCCACTCTGAAGAGTATACAGTCAATTGATAGAATACCTTGAGTAAATTGGGTTGCTCAAAGGACTTGACCCTTGAAACTCGTTGCTCCTGCTACCACAAGAAGGTGGATCATCAGTCTAATTGACAACACAGTCCAAACCAGCTATTACAATCCTTCAAGATCACTGAAAAACAATAGAACTAGTAGAGAGAAGTCTTCTGTACAAGGATCAACCTAAGAACGACCATGGCTAAATCTAATCAACCAGCTAAATCGTGAGGTAACTGATGGTATAGAGTTTGAGTTCGGCAGTGCTTTTGGCAATCACACTCGAGGCATGTTGGGTTACCATTGGTAATGTTTAGTTTGATGCTTATTTTCTTTGTTTGAAAAAGGGTAACTATATTCATTTCTAAATTCATAACAGTGTGGCATAAAGAGTTGGGAAGCTCTCTTCACACCGATCGACCTATTTGTTCATTCAGTACACGATCTCAGGTCATCTGACATGGATTGAACTATAAACCTTGTTAAATTATCCAGGATTGTAAGAAAATAGGAATGGACACATACATACTGAGGAGTGCTTGCTCTATTCTCTAAATCCGTGTGGTCTGTAATGAAGTTTCTGCAAAGCAAGAAGGTTTCAGTTACCAATTGTAGAGAAATAGTGGTTTTCTGATAGATATTAGATACATATTTAAACCCCCAAATCCTAACAGAAAAATAAATTCGGTATTTCTTAAGGGAATAGAGTGAAAAGGATGAGTCAAGAATTAAGGCGCTACTCCATTACAATGAAATAGATTGAATTCTAGAAATAAGCAAGAAACCACGGTACCTGCTGTCAGCCTCATCAGGCATTTGCTTGTTCATCATACTTGCCTGCAACACCAATGAAGAAATCATAAGAAAAAAAGCTGCACGTGATGCACAATGCTCAGAGTCGTCAACCCACACAACTGCTTTCTAGTCGTCACATGTCGGAGTTCTTGTTAGATGCAATAAACACAAATTTAGACATGTTTTGGAAAAGAGAAGAATTATCAGCATCACTACCAACTGCTTCTCAAAAATCCCTCGCTTGCTAAAACAGAACCATTCAGCCACAAATAAATTAATAAATAAACAATCAGGATGATGAATACGACAGGCACCTGTTCGGAAATGATACTGCGAGCCTCAACGAGCTGTGCTTCAAGGGCTTGCTCGCGCTCACTGGTTTCTCTTCCTTGCAGTTGAATCATGCGTTCCTGGAAAGAGGAAGAATACATCAGGAACACTTTGTAAGGCGTGTTCAGAACGTCAACTGATTAGAAAAGAAATGACTCAATTTCTTTAGAAACTCACAGAAAGAGCATAACTACTGAAAGTCTACAACCCTTATTTTTCTGGATTATCTCTTATTGAGAAGAGGTTCGGTGGTAAAACATAACGTACCAAGAGCTATCTGGTAATAGGGGAGGAGCTGCAACACTCTTACCTTAATAGTGGACATCTTGGCACGCAAACTTTGTTCAATTTGATCTCTTGCCATATGAAAAGGTAGGTCAAATACATCCTGTAAAAATGCATAAAATTCAACTCAGTGAAGTGGCTGGTTGATGACTGGCTACCTTCACTTGAACTTGTACTGCCTGGGGCAGAACACGTTGCAAAGTGATTCTTACACCACATTCTGATCGCTAAGCGAGTGAAACTTGAAAACAAAATATGATTTGAAATTACCGTTCGGCCGCCTAGTGGTGTGGGTGGTGGTTCGAGTTCCTGAGAATTTACTCCAGTACCGGGTCTACTTAGACCACTTGGAGTATTCAGAAAGTCACGCATATCACCCTACATATTGATAAGGATTAGCTCAAACAACACACTTGATAGAATTTTACAGTTCTGAGACTTTCTTTTCAAGCTGAAATGTGTATTTCTGGGTCGACAATGAAATATGAAATCTGAATGCCAAAGAAAGGGAAGCTAACGAGTAGTGTCATACTTGCATGGATCGAAGTAAAGCTCGCAAGTCAGAGTTTTCGGCGACAAGTTCCTGTTTTTTAGCTTCGTATGCATCCACCTGCATGAGAGGAGCAGCAACAATCATATTTAAAACAGCAAACTTATTCTTTTAAAATCCCTGGTCATGCATGCAATTCTAGCCGAGGAGAGTAGAAAATCAAATTACATGCCTGAAAACAAAAACAGGTAACTTTATCAGGTGCAGAATCCATGATGTTGAGATTCTTAAACCAGGCCATAGCAACAAGAGAAAAACAAAGAAAACATTAGACTCCATTTGCATGTAAAACCTCACTAAGCCTGTGTTCCAGTGTGGTGGAAAGGGTTGCTTACAATCATCTTGTAGAAATCACCATCCGCTTTCTTGGTGTTCCAGGTGCCCCGTTGCCTTCCTTCTTTCTGCACACAGTTAAGATATAATATAAAACTATTCGTTCAATTTCATGTCTGAACCATGAATATTAGAATATACACTATCTCCGCATGTAAGTGATAAACAAAAACTTCAGACCAGCCACATCCACACAAAATCTTATCCATCAAAAAGTTCTTCGATCGGGGATTAATAGGCATATGAGGCTGATCCGTCGGATTTGAAGATTAAGATGCATCTTAACTACAAAGAAACGATCCAAATAAAAATGAACGAATAAAAAAAATAGTGAACCTGAAGCAAATTCATTATCTCAATCCCGGTCTTGGACTCCTTTTTCTTTTCCATCAAGACTTGGTTCAATCGTTCCTGTACCAGACGATATACATTCACCTCAATTCAAATATGATAGAAACATTATGCAAAAGAGAACCAGTCGTCTAGGAATACGCTGTAAAAGAAATTATTAAGACAAGAAAATTCCTTATACCTGCAACTTGATGTATTCCTTCTCTTTCTTCTTTAACTCGTGCATCTGCTGAGTCTTCACTTGCTGAAAGAATCGAACCCGTAAAATAGATTAGGTTGTATATAATAGGCTGCTAGCGTACTAAGGAAATGCAAGATATCAAGACAAAACAAGCATGTGTTTCAAGAGTGTCTTAGCTCCAAATCAAGACAGTAAGAAGATTGTCTACCCACTTGTGTAGTAATCACCATTCTTTGAAACTCATCCTTCTCATGCTGTAACCTCTCTATCTGGGACCTGCTAGCGGCTGCCGCCTTTTGCTCCTGTGACATTTAATATTCAGGACAACAACACATGTAAGCAAACTACTCATAAACGTCTCCAGCTTACCACTACTATCGATGGAAGTAAAATATTTCTTAAGATGTGAAAGATGGGAGACAGCTCAGGTCAGCCTAAATGGTCGGGAAGTAAACCTATCAAAGTGTAACTCCTTGCAACTATTGAATCTGCTGAGCTCTAAGAGTAATTCATATTGGGTAAGATTCGTAAGACATCCCAAAAAACATTCTAGGTGTCGAGAATGCCGGATAAACGTAATGAAAGCCGTAGGAGTATTAACTACTATCCTGAAGGAGCGATGACTATATTCACCAAAAAAAAAAAAGTGACTCCAGGAATGAAGCCTCCTTATAAAAACGCCTAGGCGTCGAACCCAAGCACTACCTACTTGACCAACTAAAAATTCTTCAAATGACGAACCAGCCGTATACGCAGTTAACCGCCCGTGTGCAGAAGAGCGAATTACTAACGCTCGAAGAACAAAACAAAACGATAGAAAAGCAAATAGCAAGTCACTCAAGTCAGGAGAAACGCAGCACTTGTCCTGAAGTTAGAAAACTCCGACTGAAGTAGATTCGCTACACTGTATTTCAATTAGAATCTAATAAAGGGGCAGCTCAAAACATATTCATCACGGTGGTTATTCAGTTAAATGTACGATGAAAGAAGTTAAAGCTCGTAACTTAGAGGTTCAGTAGTACCTTGCTTGTGATTGCTTGCAATTCACGTTCCTTACTGGCCAGTTGATCGGTCAACCTTTCGACTTTGGCCTCAAGCCTTGACATATCTGACATGAGCCTGCACAGCACATCATCAATTTCAGTAATCTCTACAAGACGGCTGTTTTTCGACAGAACACCCCGAATTCTATGCACTACGCAAGCATGATAAGTAGCACCATGTTCAGGAGAGTTTAAATATCTATGATAAACCCAGTTAAGTCAAAGGCACGAGAAACTCGTTGTCGCACCTTTGCCTAGAGTCATTGGCTGCTTCACGGTACTCAATGTCCCGTTGCCGCTGCTGAATCATGGCATATATGCAGTTACATGTTCGCACGACTGAAGCCTGGAGGAATATGACGATATTAGCAACGCTTATCAGGGACATCACAGAATCATGACCGTAGAGGGACATGGTATGCATCCAAAAATATATGAAAGTGTGTGCTTTTCCTGCTCAGAGCATGTTGCTAACAACTCCTGAATGTACACGCTATTAATGATCGTGAAACCCGACAATAATGGAGAAGCTTACGGGTTCGGTCGAGTAGAGATTAAGTCCGGATGGAAAGCCAAATGTGACTAAAGACTGGTTGAGATACTTAATGCAGTGGTCCAAGTTGTGAATATCAGCAAAAGTGTCATCCCTGAAAATTGAAGACAGTAAACAGTCAGCGAAATTAATCAAAATACAAAAAGATGTACCGCATCGAAAACTCCTTCATGCAGCTTTTCAGCATAACCAGGAAGATCTTCTAAGAGTAAAAAGGGTTCATCGAACAACTAAAGAGTATTTGAATATCAGTGACATAGTGTACATAACAATATTTACAGATTATCAAGATTAGAAGAGAGGATACAAACGTCGAGCAGAGAAAATCTACCCTGAAGTGTAGCTAGTGTCGTATGAACCCTGCCAAGGGAGCGTTAAAAAGTCAGTCAAGCACACTTGGGACACCTTAAGATAACGCAAGTAAAACAAAGTTAAATGACTAGTGATAAATACTTTACATAATATTGCTGTTGTTGTTGAACTTTGACAATAAATAAATAAATGACCTGGGTGATAAATCACCCACTCACTAGCAAGGTCTGCTCGAATAAAAATGCGTTCATTATACTTAAGATTCACATGGAAGTCCAACACCACCACACGTCTGCTGGTCAGAATTTTTTTTCTAGTTACACAGAAACATACGGGTATGACAGTTTCTGTGAGTATGTTTGTTAAGATCGAATTTCGGTCTTATATATCACGGCAGTTGGCCTGACAGACGGGGAAAAACATCGTTCCGGTCCAGGAAAGAGTAAATGAATATCTCTTCGTTCACGATGAAAGCCAAGGAAGGAATATTGACACAGGTCGTTGCAACCTTAACCATCATCAGGTGACTAAACAATTTGCTTCGTCTACCACCATTAGCATGTGGTCTAAACGTGGGGAACTGTGAGGTGGCACTATTCACATACCTGAATCTCCGTACTCGTTGAAAAAGAAAATAAACAAAAACAAATGAGTTCAAACGTAAAGAAATACATACCATGTAGCCAGAGTCACCTTCACTCATGCCCATGATTGCCACTGATAATTTAAACGCTCAGTTGCTCAAAAAAGATGAAGACAACTGTATCGCATACTTCGACTATACGTGTCGTACGGGAGCTGCAGACATTGAACTCATGTGAGCGTCACATCAGATAAGAGTGGATGTCTCACGTGATGATATTTCATGAACTTCTAGAAACGTGTATTAAACCACCCATCACTTGGCTAGAGATACTCTACAAAACCTATAGGAGAAGTTTGCCATAGTCGTAGCACCAGTGTAAGGTTCAAGAAAGAGGGTATGGCACAATTTTTGTTGATGTGCAGTGCTATGTAGAGTCAGATGCAATTATTGGTGAGGCCCCTACACTCTGACGAACGGGAGGCGGCCCTGGATCGCAACTAAACAAGACATCTAGGGCTCCATTTCCTTCAAATCGATCGGATGCAGTGGTAGGTCTACTTCTAAAGAGAAAGAAACATTTTGAGATAAAATATTCCATCATTTACGAGCTTCAACAACTGAAAGACAGTTAACAATCAGCCCTGAAGGTATTAATGGCCTCGCATTAGAGCTCTAGAAGCTCACAAGTGTATAACTGTGAGAGGAGCACAACTTGAATTGATACGTCGGCATGAACCGAATAAATTTCTATATTGGAAGGACAATTCCAGCACCAAGTCTTGTGTTAAAAGGGATTATGGCGTGGTCCAATGTAGGCACTGGACGATGAATTCTTGAAGGCAGCTGATAAGAAACGTTACAGTAAGTGAGGTTTCTAAACTCATCATGGTTTAACTAAAGTTCGGAATTTGTGACATCTTGTGATGCACGAAAGCAGGCTGAATAGAATTTGATGACGAGGTTTAAGCACTCTACAAGGGGTGGTAGATTAGCTGAGCAGGGATTTACTAACACTTGAAGTCCGTAAATTGCATCGGGGAGCGTAATTCACAAGCGACTTGCGTAGAGACGACACCTGAACTTGTCTCTCTATCAGCTGGCGTGATTCCTCAAAAACCAAACTCAAATCGTCTGCACTTGCGTCGACTGCGGAACCCTCCTTAATCCAGCGGATGAGATGCACTAAAATAGCTATTCAAGGTCGCGCTAAGATCAAGAAACAGGGGCAAAGGGAAATCCGCATGCTTCAAAATCCACTTCTTCGAGCCAGTATCAGAGACCAGCACGGATGTACCAGCCAGTTGTAGAACACAAGTGCCACCACCGCAGGAATAACAATAGCCTCGGCTCTCTGATTTCCGCTCTCCACCGACGACACTTCCACTATTCAACACAATACAGACCTAACTCCCTGATTCCCGAAACTAGTAGACCAAGATATAACCACCCGATAGAGAAAGACTACTCACCAAGACGAGAAACCTCCTAATCGCTGCGCTCTTTCACTACTCTCCTTCTCACTAATCGCATCTCACAAAGGCGCAGCTAAAAGATGCGCGCTCCTCAACACAGACACCAACCAAAACAATCACCAAACTACTAAAAAGAAACAGAGCATATTTCCGGCAGGAAAAGCGGCAGCAATCCTCATGGAGATCGACAGAAGACGAAGACAGTTGTCACTTATCCCAATCGACGAGCGCTTCACTTCCCAACGTCAGCTTCTCTCGAAAACTACGCACTAACCCCTAGAACACACACCCTCCGCAAGGAAACGATACGCGAAAATTCCAACAACCAACGCCCAATGCCCCTAATGGCACCACTTCCGAAACCTCAGTGACCTCGGTATCCTCACTCTCGCTGCACAACAGACACAGCCAATTGAAGATAAGCCGACTGGCTCTGCGATGAACAGGGCATGTCCAAGGCTACGGGAGGCCTTTCGACACAAAATTTGAACAAAAAGTAGCGCAACGAAGAGGGCGTTGATTAAGAAAGGCGAAGGAAGCAAGCGTGAACAATAGCGGATCACAGCGATCGAGAATCCAAACGGGCCTTGAGACCGCTTCGAGCGAGGCTGTCGAAAGAGCCACACGAGACCACGGGCGGGCCCAGTCTAGCCGTGCGGAGGAGGAACGGGTCGCCCGGCCGGTCCTGCGTGGACCAACGTTCCCTCTAGTTCAAAAATCTGTCCAAGGGCCGAGCCTGCGCCATGTTCATCTTCCGGTTCTCAGCGGATATCAATGACTCAAATAAGCCATTTAAATCCTAAGTTGTCCTATCAGAGCGGGCTTCTGGCCTCCAATCAGATCCCAGCATCATTTAACAAATCTCTTTAATTCTCGGGCCCAACTTTTATTAAAACTTGCTTGTTTGAAAAGGGCTATTTTCTGTTGCTTTTTTAATTCCATTAACTACCGAATAGTTTTACCAAAGTAATACCTTACCACTTTTGAGTTTGTAAAAGGTTATTTCAATGAACTTCATGAATTCCCAAACTCACTAGATCTGTACATTTTGTGAATTATGCTTCGTGCAACACATTATTGTAATTTATTTGTTGTGTTCTTTGCACAAGAGCAGTTGGTCTCTGTTCACTACAAGCTTTAAGTTTTTGAATAGAATCTCGAATCTCGAACACAGCTTTTTAGTTTAAAAAATGCATCATGTTGTCTGACATGCAATGAGGTAGCTACGGTTCTACACATCACGACTGCACAAAAAATAGAAATAAAAAGAATATGAATAAGAAAAGGTCAGAATCACACATTCAAAAGTCAATGTCTACACATATGTATATATATATATATATATATATATATAATCAACAGAAACTAATGAATAAAATGTCTCAAATCACTGAAATTTGTTGAGAGCTTATTAAAATTCTAAACACTGGCAAATAACCAACACAATTAATTGCAATGTTTGAATATGACTACAAAAACAGCAGCAGTATGCATGAATGAACTTAGGTGTGTTTGGCTATATACATATACACACACACACACATTAGATAAAATATTTGTGTCTGGTTTGTGTTAGAATGTACAGATAAAGTGAGTTTATATAACACAAACCAGGCACAAATAAAAATTTATTTAATATGTGTGCATGTGTGTGAGTGTGTGTTTTGGTTAGTTAGTTACAAACCGTAATTGAGAAAGTATGATTTGGATTCAGAATGATGTGGTACTGAGGTCGCTTGTACCCTTTTGCAGCCATGAGAATTCTCCTGAACCTCTGACTCTGGCCGTCACAAATAATACCCTACCCCTCTTTGAATGCTGTTGACGTACCGCTGACGTTCCCTTCCTGTTCCCCTAATGTTAAAGCCGTCTACATAGTGCTGTCTTCGTGTTCCCCTATCAGGGAACAAGCTGCCCCGCATCCTCACGGAGAAGCATTCACATGAACCCATCCATCCAGACGCCTCTTCATCCATCCAGACGCCTCTTCATCCACCCAGACGCCTCTTCATCCATCCAGACGCCTCTTCATCCATCCAGACGCCTCGTCATCCATTCAGACGCCTCGTCATCCATCCAGACGCCTCGTCATCCATTCAGACGCCTCGTCATCCATTCAGACGCCTCGTCATCCATTCAGACGCCTCGTCATCCATTCAGACGCCTCGTCATCCATTCAGACGCCTCGTCATCCATTCAGACGCCTCGTCATCCATTCAGACGCCTCGTCATCCATTCAGACGCCTCGTCATCCATTCAGACGCCTCGTCATCCATTCAGACGCCTCGTCATCCATCCTTGAACTCATCCGCTTGGATGCTCTTCCGTCGGACTGTTCGTATAGTCATCAGTAGTAATGGGTGTGTATCCTCGTTGGTATGATCAATCTCTCATTCTTCTACAAGTATACTAAGCACCCAGATTTGGTGCAAATTATACTGACAACCGAGAGCTATTTTATCATTCAATCTCACAGTATATTGCCTCCTCTCCCAATTTTATTTATTTTATTTTATTTTTCCTGTAAAGATCACTAAAAGGAAGTGCAATGTAATTATACATTTGAAAAGCACACACACAGTGACCATATTCATTTGAAAAGTACAAACAAATTAAATTTTAAAAATAAAATAAAATAAACACACTCACACAGTGTATGTTTAGTAGCTTAAATTTTTACTTTCTTCTCTTTTTCTAATTTTATTTTCTTTCTTATGATTAACACAGTCCTACCTTTTGTGGTCCTTGATATAGAAGTAAAATCAAATAAAGTTGTTGAGGATGCAAATGTCCACAAAAGTAATGGCTTGTCAGAGTATCTTCGAACATAACAAGACACATATATTTCATGCCTACTTTCTACCCTATAACTTTCTTACTTTGTGGTGACTTAAAATGTTATTTTTTTCGTACTTTCAGATGTGCTGAAAATGATGTACAATACACTACTTTCGCATTAAATAAATGAACAACTTTTCAGTCAGAGATACATTATCAATATACTTTGTGAAGAATGTGACAAGTTTGCCTGACTCAACAATGCAAAATACAATGTCAGAGAATATAATAGTACAAGCAAATTTAAGTTGAATACAAATATATATATATATATATATATATTGGCACGGAGAACTTAGACAAACTCTGTTTCTGGTAGTTTAATTTTTTTTCAAAAATGGACCAAAATTTCTCAAATTTATATTTTGTATATAATACATCAACAACACATGGGAACATACTATTTCATTCACAATCTCTCAATGAAATGCTGAATTTACTTGTCATTAAAACTGAATAATAAAACTTGAGACATTACCAAGCATCCAGAAATATTCAAGCTACTAAACATTACTCAATTTATCACCATTTTACAATTTTCCTAGTCGAATCATCATATAGCTGTACTCCATTTATTTACTTCAGGACAAGTGTTTGAAGAAGGGTATTTAAATAAACAACCTTATATATGTACATTTATAAGGTTGTTTATTTAAATACCCTTCTTCAAACATTCAAAGCTTTTGGTACAATAATAATAACATACTTGGGTTATAAAAACTAGTGTTTTCTATGACAAGTTCAAATCCATGTATATATATATATATATATTTATATGATTGGTATATTCTTTTTTTATAATTCTTTTGTGTTCTATTGAACTTTTCTAACAACAAGCTTATATTTTGAGGATTAAATGTTTTTTAAAGTACTCTTTGTATCAATTTTTTCTTGAAATTTTAATAATTATAAATTATGGTATGTAATTAAATCAAAATTCAATTGTAGTCTTTTGATTAAGATATATATATATATATATATATATATGAGCTATAATTTTAAAATCAGATAGTTTCTAATGAGATTGAAGTATATATATATATATATATATATAACATGTGATGTAATGTATACAATTCAAATGATAAAACTGTTAAACCTTACAATTTAGTCTATATTATGAGATGGAATTCATCAAATTTTATACTAGGATGTCTCTTGCAAGTCATAGGATAGAAAACATTCTGTTAGAGACATAATCCTTAGAACCTTCTAGAGACAAGTTTCTAGAACCTTCTAGAAACAAGTCTTTGGAACCTTCTAGAAGCTTCTTAGCTAATAGAAGATGTTAGAGACATAGTTCTTAGAACCTTCTAGAAACAAGTTTCTTGAATCTTCTAGAAGCAAGTCTCTAGAACCTTCTAGAAGCTTCCTAAATAGGAATATATATTGGAATCAAGGCTGAAGAGTTCTTCAGTCTCGACAACACATCTCTTGGAGCTCTAGCTCACCTCTTTGGTGTTGTTCTTGTATTCATCTGATTAATCTAGTTCTTGCCAGTTCTTCTTGAACTTCTTGTTAGATCTCGAGTCTGTAATTTTATGTTCGTGACAGTTTGTCGAGACTTCACTCACCTCAAATATCAGAGCTAGTTTCTTCCTCGTTAGAGTGCGGATTACCCCTCTGCTTGGAAGTGTACTAGCATTTTAGAGGTTGTGGATTACCCTCCTCTAAACTGATACTTCTTTTATTACAATATTAGAGTCTTATTCTTCTTAGAGAGAGTGGATTACCTCTTTTCTTGAAGCTCTTAAGGCATTTTAGAAGATGCGGAATACCCTCCTCTAAACCAATATTGTCTTCTTGTACAGTCATTTCTGTCCTTCGCTTAGAATGGCTAGAGACCAAGACATTAGTATGACAAAAAGTTCGGAGTCCAAGTTGGATGCTATCATGAATACCCTTGCTACATTATCGCAAAGAACTGCAGAGATTGAAGGAGTCGTGGCAAGGCTTGATAATGATGGAACATTTGAGATGGCACAATCTAGGTTGCACCAGCCTCAAACTTTTGCACTTGGCAAAGCAACTTTGCCTCAGATTCGACAAGCACCGCTGGTTCTACAACATAAGGAGCCCTGAGTTAGCCTTTCGGATAAATTCGATGGTACACATTCCAAGTTTCGAGGATTTGTCAACCAAATCAGGTTGATAACAGTTTTACAGCCCGAACGCTATCCAACGGAGGAGTCATGTGTTGGGCTTGTTAGAACCTTACTTACAGGGCAAGCTCTATCATCGTTTGCTCCTTTGTTTGAGAAACGATCGTCCATACTAAACAACTTTGAAACCTTTTTGGAGGCGTTTGCAGAAGCATTTGGTGAACACAACAAGGTTCGATGGGCTATAACAAAGATCAGGTCACTACGACAAGGGATGCGCTCTACATCAGTCTATGCATCGGACTTCAGGCAATTAGCATGCGACATCAATTTGCATGAAGAAGCGTTGATGAGTCAATTCTATTGGAATTTAAAGGATGATGTGAAGGATTTGCTGTTAACTCTTCTTGATCCACAAACGCTCAACAAAGCTATTAGCCAAGTTGTGAAGTACGATAACCACCTATTTCAACATCGCCAAGACCAACGTTCAAGACAACAAACGATTCACCATGCCTTAACTATGTCGGCAAGCAGCGTGAATTCACATTCAGAAGTAGAAGACTTGCAAATTGATGTAGTATGTGTTAAATCCCTTACTCTAGAAGAAAAAAAGTGGCGTATGGAGGAAGGTCTATGCTTGTATTGCGGTGAAGAAGGCCACAAA